GCCAGCCTTCTGGTTAGCAGTCAAGTGCCTTAGCCACTATGCTACCAGAGCTCCTTCTGACTCATAGCGAACACTAAATATTGCTTACTGTGTGACAAGCCCTGTACTGAGTTTTAAAGAAACTTATTTGTTTTAACAACAGCTCCTAAGGCAGGTAACTATTTCTATCCCTATTTTACAGGTAAAGACAGCAAGGCACAGGGTGGTTAAATAACTTGCCCAAGGTCACAGAGCTCTAAGTGGTGAGATGTAAACCAACACAGTCAGGCTCCAGACAGGGTCTATGCTGTGGACGACTACACGACATTAACTGTCTTCAATATACCATCAGCATTTATCTTATTCAGCATAAGTATTAACGCTTAGGTGTAGCTATACACTTTTGATGGCCCTGTAGTCAAACATAGAAGCCCTGGTGATACAGTGGTTAAGCACTCATCTGCCAACCAAAAGGTTGGGGGTTCAAACCACCAGTTGCTCCATGGGAGAAAGATGTGGCAGTCTGCGTCCATAAAGATTTACAGCCTTGGAAACTCTGTAGGATGGTTTTATACTGGTCTGTAGGAGGACTGCTATGAATTGGAACTGACTCTACTGCAATGGCTTTTTGGCAGTCAGATAACTTATTTGTAACATTCTTACCTGCAAAAATCAGATGGAAAGACATAAAGGGTTTCATCTTTGGTTATTAATGGATGAAAAGAATCACCATCTGTTCCATTAATCATATTGCACTTCTCTGTTCTCCACCAGTCAAGTGACCTACAATGAATAAACACAATAAAGGATAAAAGATGATCAAATTTGCTTTTAGAGATTCTTAAATAGTCAAGACTTTTCAAGACTTAACTGGAAGCTGGCTACCCACTGTATCTTATTCATATGCAGATAAAAGAGTGGTGTTGGTTGGGGAGGAATCAAAAGAAAGAGAAAGTAAGCTCCCAATGGATGCCCAAATGAATCTTGATAGAGGCAAGAGCCAAAGATTCCTTTTTCCTTCCTCCAAAAAAATGTAGCCTATTCAGAAGGTTAAGGAGTCCCTGGGTGATGCAAATGGTTAAGTGCTCAACTACTAGTCAAACCCACCAACAGGACCCTTGGAAGACAAGAAGCCTGGAGATCGGCTTTTGAAAGGTCTTGAAAACCCTTTTGAGTAGTTCTACTGTGCACATAGGAGCTCTGGTAGTGTAGTGCCTAAGGCACTTGACCGCTAACCAAAAGGCTGGTGGTTCAAACCCACCAGGCACTCCTTGGAAAGAAGGTTGGGCAATCTACTTCCGTAGTGATACCGCCTTGGAAACCCAAAGAGGGGTCGCTATAAGTCAGGTCTGACTTGGTGGCACATAACAACACAACAACAACTATGCACATGCGGGGTCACCGTGAGTCCGAAATGACCCAACAGCAATTAACAAACCTTCACACAGAGGATTAGGAATACAAATCTACTTAAGCAGTGATCTCATTTATCATTAATAATAGCCTTGCTCATGGCCAACCCACAGACAGATCAACTGTGGATAAAACTGCCTCTTTAATAATATTCTTGATACAGTATTAACTCTGCCTTCCCTAGGAACAGTTATCTGTTCTAAATAGAGGACTTCTCTTGAATCACAAGAAAGCACAATATTAAACTGATTCCATACTAAAGGCACAGTTGAAATAGTGGTTTTTTTTAAATTAAAAATTTAAGGCTGACATACATGTTCCTTTTTTTACTTTGAAGTAATGTCAAACTTATAGAAAAGCTGCAAGAATAATACAAAGAACCCTTATGTATCCTTTATCCACATTAACTAATTATTAAAGAAAGGGACAGGTAATAAATAGTAATTTTCCCAACTTCTGGTCAAAATGGCACTCTACGTTCATGAACTGAGATCTTCTCCCAAATAAAAACACAGGGTAGTGGCTGATAAAGCATAAAAAAGAGAATATTTAAAAGATCTATGTCATAACTCAAATACAAATAAACATCTCCCTAGAAAATGAAAAAAGATCTTGAATGCAAAATGCTGAGTAGGCTAAAGCTACTGGCTCACTGGGCGGCAGATCTACAAGAAAGAAGAAAAAACTGGAAGTTCAGTTCCTGGGCGTAACAGGGATTAAAGGCGGTCCACCAAGGCTTGAAATAAGGGATTGGGAGGCAGGAATATCCTGTTCATCAAGAGAGGTCAAAGAAAGCAGCTTTTACCTGCTGTCTGGAGTTAAATGTGTACAAAGCTAAGTGAATCAGAAAGCAGGAAGACATAGACACAGCCTCATAGCCAGAACCTGCACCAGGCTGCCTTCTCTCTGGCTTTGTCTGATTTCCTCAACATAATTGTGGGATAGGAGGCCACTGATGTATAATGACTCTGGACTGAAGACTCTAGGGTGCGCTATATGGAAGCAACTCTAAAACTGCTACACAGAGAGGTGAGAGGATGGACAGACAGACTGGCATAAATAGAAACAAAGTGACTTCCCAACGAAAATAATTCTGCAAAGCAACATTTTGTTTTTCCAAATGAAGCAAACATACTAAGAGACAGACAAAATCAACAATGAAAAGGTGAATTCACTTTAGAAGAAATGGAAACAGAGGGCAATTTGACTAATAATTTAAATAAATGTATAGTTTAGTATCCTCAAAAAGACTAATCAAAGAATAATAGCCTTAAAAATTATGATAAATTATGAGGGAAAAAAAAAAACAGGAAAGAATGAAGCAAGAGTAGAGAGATACAAAATAGAAAAATTAGAAATCCTGGAAATAAAAGTAGAGTTTCTGAAAATAGAGATATAACTCTAGACTACACACAGTTGAAGAGAAAACTGGTGAACTGGAAGACAGTTCTAAGGTATTTACACAAATATTACCTCAGAAAGGCAAAAATTTAAAAACTAAAGAATCAGGAGATACAGAGAATAGATTGAGAAGCTACGATAAATGTTTAATAGAGTTATAGAAGGGGAAAATAAGTAGGGAAAATAGTAGAGAAGCAGTAATTGAAGAGCTAATAGTGAAAACTTTCCTGAAATTTAAGAAAGACAAAAGGCTTTGGATTGAAAATATACCCCAAGAGAGAAGCAGAATAAACAAAAATAAATTCAAGCCTGGATACATTGTAGTAAAACTGCATAAGATCAACTTGACAAAGATAAAAGCCAAATGTCAATGGTGGAATATGTTCATAGTTTTGAACTGTCAACCTAGAATTTCATACCCAGCTAAAACCATTCCAAAGTGAGAGTGAAATAAAATTTTCCTTTTTTTTTGAAATAAAGATATTTTTCAATATGCCAAGTCTAAGAGAGTTTACCACCTAGAGATCCTTACTGAAAGCTACAAATGCAGGGTTTCTCAACCTGTTAACATTTTGGGCCCAACAGCTCTTCATGGTGGGGCTATCCTGTGCATTGTAGGATGTTTTTAGCAGCATCCCTGACCTCTACCCACTAGCTGCCAGTATGTCCCAGATGGAACAGCCAAAAATGCCTCCAGATATTGCCAAATGCCCCTGAGGGTCAAAACTGCCCCTAGTGAGGTACAGACGATAAAGATGAACCCTTTTGCACATACAGTACCGCATAGTCAGTGAAGGCAAACATTGATCTACTAGTGGATAGAAGGGTAGACAGGCTGAACTATTAGGTATGTCTATGCGGGGGGGAGTGTGCCCATGACCATGTATAGGATTGGCAGACAATATTTCTACAAGTGTATTTGTATGTTCTATAAGAATTCCTCCGTATATAGTAGAGCTGACAAGGGACAAGGTTGTAGTCATTTCTTGGCCACAACCAGCTACCCAAAGGGAGCGAGTAGTTGGACCTGTGGGCTCAGGACTACGGTTGCAGGGGATATCAAGCAAGCTTCATTGGCATAACATACTACACAAAAACATTGTTCCACATTCTACTTTGGCAAGTAGTGACTGGGATCTTAAAAGCTTGCAAGCAGCCATCTAGATGCAACAATGGGTCTCTCCTTGTCCAGAGCAAACAAGAATGAAGAAAACCAAAGTCACATGGAAACAATTAGTCCAAGGGACTGGTACACCATGCGATCCTCAGCCTATACAACTATGAGACCAGAAAAACTAGATGATGCCTGGCTACCACTGTCAACCACTTGTAGGGGGATCTATGTAGGGGATCATTGATAGAGTGAGAGAATAATGTGGGACAAAACTCAAAAATAAAAAGAAGAAGAAGAAAAAACAAAAAGGTCCATGTTTGCTGGTCTGACAGAGAGCCTAGTGGAACCCAAGACTATGGGCCCTACCTGCCCTTCAGGTCTGGAATTGAACCCTCTTGTGGTTCCAGCCAAACAAAAGACAGGCATATGAGCTAACATTTACATTAGGCAGATACATTCCTTGGAGAGATCAATCATGGCAGAATAGAAGGGCTGTGTATACACAGGGAGATAGCTTGGGAGGGCAGGAGTGCATGGGAGGGAAGGACACAGGGAAGAAGTAACTATGGGGAGGAAGTGGGAGGGGAGCTGTTACATTGTGGGAAATTGTAGTCAATGTCATGAGACAAAGTGCATGTGAGCTGCTGTATGGAAAATGAATTTGCTCTGTAAACTTTCACCCAAATCACAATGAAAATTTAAAAAAAAACTGCCCCCCAGTTAGGAACTACTGTTGATTGTTACTGTTGTTAGCTGCTATGAGTTGGCCTGTAGGTGACCCCATGCACAACAAGATAGCACCACTGTGATGCATAGGGTTTTCACTGACTGATTTTCACAAGTAGATCACCAGGCTTTTCTTCCTAGTCCATCTTATTCTGGAAGCTTTGCTGAAATGTGAGCTGCTCTGGCTGGGAACTGAACCTAGGTACTCCGCATGGAAGGTGAGAAATCTACCACTGAACCACCACTGCCCCCTGAGAACCACTATACTACCAGATCATCTTCAGCAAGAAAACTCCCCTTCAATGGGAAGGTGTGAAAGGTTTCCTTACTGTGGATTTACTTTCTTCCTCTTGCCACACTGTACTTTTTGTAAGTTTATATATGTTGTTGTTATGTGCTGTCAAGTCGGGTCCCACTCATAGAGACCCCTCCTTGGGTTTCTGAAGTGGTATCACTACGGAAGTAGATTGCCAAACCTTCCTTCAGAGAAGTGGCTGGTGGGTTTGAACTGCCAGCCTTCTGGTTAGCAGTCAAGTGCCTTAGGTACTACGGTACCAGAGGTCCCACGTTTATATATGCCTTTTTAAATTTTTTTTTTTAAGGTACCATATTAGGCACATTGTTCAGGACTTTGCCTTTTTTTCCCTTAATTTTTTTGGGGGGGTAGGCTATCTTGTCTTTTTACCAAACAGACAAGTTATATGTGAGAGAGGCATTTTAGGAACAAGTTAATTAAACCTTTATCTTCCCAGGATGTCCAGAATCTATCTTTACATCTAGTTAATAGGTCAGCTAAGCTTTCCGTCAAATTATTACTGTGGATTATAAGTACTAGAAATAGCCATGTGAAAAATATTTTAATATTACATATAAAAATGTTGAAACTTTTCATTACATTATCCAATTTCTTTGATAAAAGATCTACATCATGAATTCCTCCTAGAATTTGAAGCCAGGATGAACTTTATTTTTCCTGAAAGCTAGTCAATAAAAACCACACAGCTCACTGTGCTTCCTTTGTTTGCTTTGATTGCTGGGACGCTCAAAAGTAAATTTAATATTCAAGAACAGAACTCCTCTTACCTCAGACTCTGAAGAATTATCCTCCTTCTATAAATGGTTTCTAAATTCTCTTGAATGAAAAAAAATCATCTTGTTTTCTATATAGTTTTATTGCAAGCTGCCACACCTCCATTTTGGAAGTAGTTTGTTTACAAGTTTATAAATAGAAAATATTAAACTAGAAATTATTTTTGAAATGCTAGAATAGTGACCTCAAATGTATTTCATTCTTAAAGAAAAATATACTAATAACTCAAAATCACTAAAAGTAAATTAAAAGGAGAATATCCTACCCCTCTCCCACAAAACAAAAAAACAAATGTGGTGGTTTGAAAAATATATGTGCTATAGCTACAACTCATTCAATGATTACCAAGTTACTAAGTGGTTGAAGTAAGACTTTTCTCTGGATTATAATTTATGCCTGGCCACTATAAATCTACGGGAGCTCTAGTGGCATAGTGCCTAAGGCATTTGACTGCTAACCAGACGCTGGCAGTTCAAACACACCAGCCACTCCTTGGAAGGAAGATGGGGCAATCTACTTCCGTAGTGATGCCAACTCGGAAACCCAAGGAGGGGTTGCTATGAGTCAGATCTTACTTGATGGCAATGAGGGTTGGTTTTTTTTTTTTTTTCTATAAATCTACAAATAGAAAATTTAAATTTAATTTGCAAAATATCATCCCAATCTTGACACGTAAAATCATAATTATAAGAATATTTTGCATATTTATTTTTCATCTGAAAAATGACATTGCTAATATTTTTAAATAATGCAAACTGAACATTTATTTTAAATGTAATTTAAAAAAATAATCACACTGATGTTTCACTAGACTTACTTTTTTCCATTCCATTCCACAATCTTTGTAAAGTTAAGGTAATTGTCTTCTCCGGTTAGGAAAACATAGTCTCCATCATTAGTTCCATTTTTCTGAAAATAAGTGAATATGATAAGTTAAAGTAACTAGCAAAATTACTTTCCATCATAAAATTGCCATAACTCAGCCTACATGCTACATGGACCAGAACTAGGAAGCAGAGTAATATAAATATTTTGTTAAATACAATATAAACCATATTATTACTTTATGGTTTTAAATTACCCAATTAAAAAGTAGAAAAGGGAAGATGGTGGACTAGGCAGAAAGACTGCACAGACCCTCTTCAACAAAGAAAAGGGAAACCAATTAACACAGACAAAGAAGATAATCCTGAACCCCTGAGCCTTGAAGGGAAGGATATACAAGTGGACTAAACCCCAACTAGCAGAAGAATTTGCATGAAATACCAAAAAAGGAGACATATGGAGCTGCAGTGTGGCAGCGGTCGTGAGGGATCCAGACAGCTTGGCGATTCCCAAGTGGTGGTAGGACTTAAGAATTAACCTAAAAATCACCCTGCTAGCCAGGGACTGCATGGAGGACTGTG